GTACACTACAAACAAAATGACTTATACTAACGGAACTCTATACCAACGGATGGAAGTCCGTTTGTATAGACCCATATATACCAACGAAAAACTTAAGCAGTCACTATACATCAATCTATACCAATGGAAAAATATATCCGTTTGTATAGGGTTGATTTATACAAACAGTTTATATTTATCCGTTTGTATAGAGTATATCTATTCTGATGATAATCATTATCAGTTTTTATAAATGTATCTGTACAGACGGATTACTGTTCCGTCTGTATATTTCCCTATTTCTTAAACACTTTATTTTCCTTTGTCGCTGGCTTCATTTTTACTTCCCTCCATGGATTTCCCATTTTCACTCTTTAATTTCCAAGCTTCCTTCCCCAAATCTCCAAAATTCATTCGAACCCATTCAAACTCAGAAACCCAAATTTTAATTAGACGTTTGGCCGTTCGAAAGGCCACCATAAAAAGACTCAAAGCTCTTGTTTGATCCCGCTCCCTATACTTTCCTTTACCCACAGAAAAAAGCCATGGTTGGAGGTCAATTTTGGCTTGTGTGACCCGACGATGGAGGTCAAAGAAGGCAAATTGGAGGGTTGTGAGGGTAGGATCAGACATAGGTTTAGGGCATCCTCTTACCCCCTATAAATAGGTTGTTAACAGTGAGCAAAGGGGGATTTCGAGAGGAAGCTGACAGAGAGAGGAGAAAGAGGTTTAGGGTGATGAGGCTCTGCAAGCCGTCATTCCACGTGGAGCCTCCGCTGCAACTGGATCCGATCGACCTCCTCGTCGGCGAAGACATCTTCGACGATCCACTCGCTGCCTCTCACCTCCCTCCACTTATCTCTAGACACGTTGCCAATCCCATCGACTCTTTCGATCTATGCTACCGCACCAGATTCCTCCTCCACCACCCTTCTGATTCCATGGGCCTCTTCGGCCTCCTCGTCCTCCCTCAATCCTTCGGGTCTCACTGCTTTCTCTCCCGTCATTCACTTTGTTTGCCTTTTCTCTACAGTTTCTCAATTTTATTTATTTTTCGTTGAACAGGGGGATTTATTTGGGAGAGACTTTTTGTAGCTATATCAGTATCAACAACAGCTCTAACTTTGACGTTAGAGACATAATTATAAAGGTTATTATGCGTAATCTGTTGCCTTTCTTTTTGATGAATTTCCATCAAACTGTTTGTTTGAGCTTTAATTCGGCTTCTGGTTAGTGTTTACTAAAACAGCATTTGTAATCCAGTTGAAACCATGAGAAATTACTAACTTATGGGGTTGATATGAAAATGATAAGATTCGGTGGAATTTTGCAAGTAAGTTTTTTTT